GGACATCAAATCTTGGATAAAGCCAAGACCTAAACAGTTATTCCGGGCACTAACCCGCTAGGAATACCACCCTAGTGCGCACTATAAAATAGGGAGAACTCATACCTCTCGTATTATAGTCAAACTCTAGCTATGTCTTTATAACAATGTCCCAAGTGACTCCAAAATAAATAAGTTAACAACTTGTATATGAATTAAATAATGCACGAAACTACCTTCCATGCACAAGTAGGTTAGAACCACACAACACATGCTCTAAGTCCACAACTACTATAGGATGACAAATGTCGAATCTTCAGAGTGCGATTCGTTACACGTTATAACAACATCACATGTCAAATCTTCAGTGTGTGATTCGTTACACGCTATAACAATATTATTCAATATTGAAAACATAAACTCATGAATCTAACTATAACAACAATATTATCCCATGCTCAAAACGTAACCAAGTAAATATACATCAAGTCCATTTAAACATAGTAACAACTTCCAAAACACAATTAAATCCATGGAGCAATTAGATATAATTTAATTAAATAAAAATAATAATTAAATTCTCTAGATTCCAAATAATCTCAAATTAATATATGTTAAAGGACACAGCATAGTCATCACATATATCACATCAAATAACTAATTAAGTGATTAAAACACTTAAAATAAAATTAATTAAGTTAATTAATTAATTTCGTCTAGATTTTTAAACAATTCCAAATACTCTCAAATTAAAGTATGTTAAAGAACATACCAAGACTTAATTTAATAGCATATCACAAGTTACTTCTATGCAAAGTACAACCATGAGAATTAAATTTTCACAAAAGAAAATTATTAATTAAAAATTGGAATCCTTATTCAAATAACCCCAATTTAATATACGTTAACAAACATACCAAAGCCTAATTTACTAGCATGCCACAATTTAATTCTATCACATATATAACCATGTGAATTAAATCATGCACAAAGAAAATAATTAAATTAAATTCTAGATTATGAACAAAAACATGTATACAAGTTGTATAAGTATTAATAACATACAAGATAACAAAAATATAAACCTATAACATCCCCTACCTCCATTTAAGATGAAATCTCAAATCCCCACCGAAAGAAAAGTGCTCCGAATCCGACGATACTCTTAGGTTATGTTGGGGACAATGAGGTGAACATTAAACACCAAGGAGGTCCCATCAAAATTCCAACTTGGCTTTAAACCGGAACTCAAAAAATGGCCAAAACGGAATTCCAATAAGGGGGAAAGAAAGATCTCACCAAGGCCTAAAATAAATACTAAGGCACTACGCCATTTACCATAAGGCAAGAGGCCGAAAAAAAAAAAAAAAAAAAAAAAAAAAAGAAGGGTGGCAGCCCAAGGGACTACCGTGGCTGCCAGCCAAGAGAGGAAGAAGATGATGAAAAATCTGATTTTTCATTTACTAACACCATATTTATAGAAAAACCCTAAAAGTGTCCCGAACGGGTCCCGCCGGGTCCGGAAAAGTGGAATTTGAGCAGACGCGCTCAAACAGCAAAACTCCATGAATGAAAAAGAACTAAAATGAGAAAATATAAATAACGGAAGAAATAACGTCGCAAACCGAGTCCTGAGCAGAAAGATATGCCCCAAACAAGTTCGGCGGCAACTAAGGTCAGAAACCCTAAAACTGGGGAAAAACGACCAGAAGACAATTCTAAGAGTATGCGACTCAACAAAAAATGAAAATGAATTCTGTACGAAGATCCACGCTCAAAACGAGGCATTTTTGCAATAACTTTCATTAATTGCACAATGGCCCCTACAAAAAGTGATAACTGCACTAATAACTCATAATGAAAATAATTTCCAAAAATATTTTCTTAAAAACCCTGAAATAAAATATTCCCAAAAGATATTTATGAAAAACACCCCAAGAAAAGAAAATGTTTCTGAAGAACTATACATCCATGCCCCTATGGACACCAGGAGAAACCAGATTACTTATCTACAAAAGTAAAGATATGTATTTCATGGAAACCACTTAGAATGAAGGTACATGAAGTCAAAAACCAATTTCGAACACAAAAAGTGAGGCTATGCCAACAAAGTGACAAACGGAGAAAAGGACGAAAAGTGAATAGTGTCGAAAAAGTGAAAATATGGAAATGACTCGGTTCTTAAAGGAAGTTGTTAAACCAAAGGAAAGAGTCTCGGAAACCATTCCCGAGCACTCGAGATGACACTAAGTGACGAGAAACTAAACTCGAAAAAGAAAAGATCAACGGAAAAAAAAAAAATATCCTCGAAATCTGAGAAAAATGAAAGGAAGGAAAATGACCTACTTTAAGCTTGTTTCTTACTCTGATCTTGTATTATAGCTTAAGTATTATTGATTATAAACCTTTTATGTATTGGTTATGAGTTGTGAGTGCTCATTTGGTCCAAGCAAGGGTGTTACGGATAGAGAGAGTGCAAAGTGCATATAGTGTTGCTAGTTTATGTGTAAAGGCTGTGAAAGCTAGTGTTTCATTTTGAAAAAGGGTGTGTGCAGAGAGTGATATAGCTAAGTGTGTAACTACTTGCATACAACTAGTGGAGATTTTATTGGCTGAGGCTAAAAACCAAGGTTTTTCCTTATTGAGAGGGTTTTCCTTATAAATGCATTGAGTCTTGTAAGTGTATGTGGAAGCTTGTTGAATCTATTGTTGTACTCATCACACTGCATTGATCATACAAAGAAAAAAAGTTTATACAAGAAATAATTCCCCCCCCCCCCCCTTATTGGTTCATTAGGGACCCATTCTGTAGGTACACAACCCGACATCCTAAACAGACAATGGCTTGGTGACCACTAGATAAATACCTCGTTGGGTGTGAGGATCACCCTAGACTTAGAATCCTTCTTGGGCATAAATACCTCCTTAGATATAAGGATCTTGAGAGACACCCTTAGGTGTAAGGATTTCCTTAGACGTGAGAGCCTTGAAATACATTCTTGGATATAAATGGCCACCCTGATTGCACAACACAGATGAAGTAGTGAGACCTCACTGTTGGTAAAGACCTCCTTGATGGAAGAGGCCTCACTGGTAGGTAGAGACCTTATTGTTGGTAGAGGCTTTCTTGGCGAGTAGAGACCCCATGTTCGTAGAGGACTTCTTAGCGGGTAAAGACCCCTTGTTGGTTGAGACCTCCTCGGTGGGTAGAAACCCCCTTGTTAGTTGAGGCCCAACTGCTTATAGAGACCTCATTGGTGGTAGAGGTCTCATTAGAGGGTAAAGACCCACCAGGTTACGTAGGTGTGGAATGACCAGGCCATGGTCTTGGATGATCAGGCCTTAGTAGCATGAGGGACCAAGTACTGGTAAGCAAGAGATAAAGAGAGACCAAAAATTTATTGACCTAATGCATCAGGATTGATGTACCAGACTTCTGAGTGCTATCATGCGATTCATATTAGTATGAAGGATGGGGGATCCTGATCTAGAGGCCCGTCCTTTTATAGGAACGGGGGACCTGCCATTCTGGCATTACGACACTTTATGATTTCTAGATGCCGGGATGTTTTCCGAATGGTTTCTATGATTGGAAACCTGTCGATTTGTTTCTTTTGCCGTCGGAGCCAAACCACGTCAGAGTCACTATTCCTTCAGGAAACTAATCGTTTCTCATGCACAACGCTCGCTGTTAAAGCAAAAATCTGCGCAACCTGGAATGAAATCATTTTCTTGCAACATAATGAGGATTATGTCGCATCGAACGGCACCAGTGTAATGCTGGCTAAGGACCCTCGAACGATCTAGTCAGTGCTTGGAATCGTATAATAGGAAAATAATTTTTCATTAAATGTTAAATTTTTCTCATACCTCGTTTAATGGTCATCCAACCTATTTATTGTGTTGTGGGAGTCTAGTTGATTACTCTCATACGTCGATTGAGTAGATTAGGTTTACCCTTCCTGATCGACCTCCCTTATCATTGGCAACTAAATGATGAGTCGTAATCTTATAGAGTTATCGTATTCTTAAATTGAAATTTGAATTGGGATAAGTATTCAAAGCGGCTTGTAAATGTAGGTGAATTTTATCCTATGAGCATCAATTCTAACCTCAAGTTTAAAATTCTTCCCAACAATTTCAATCCAAAAATATAAACTCAATACCTCAAATATAAATGAAGAAGATTAAAAACTTCAAACATAATAATTATCCAATCACCCAAATGCAATAATCACTCAAACTCAACCAAAACCTCAAAAACTTCCCAAACTAATTCAATCAACCACAACTTAGATTTATAGCATCAAAATGCAATAAAAATCTCCAAACTTATGATTAATGAATAAAAACTAGTAATTTTACCTTAACAATGCATCAAAGATAAATGGGAATAAGTGATGGCACGTGAAGATGATGGCATGTGAAGATTTCTTGGGTGTGCAATGGTGTGTGTACAATATGTTCAAATGTGGCATATGACATGCACAAATGCGAAAACCGCACCAAATCTAAAAAGTGTGAAAATCACAAAAATTGATCTTTATGCCATTCAAATCACACGAAACACATAGAAGCACAAACCACATAAACGACGTCGAAGACAAAAAATAATAATAAATAAATAAATGCAAATAAAAACTCCTTAGGATATAGTTGGGTAGTTTTGAACTCAAAGACCTATTGGAAACAAGTTTCATAGCATCAATACATACATACAACTTCAAAACCTCTTTCTTTATTCAAATAGTTTTAACATTCAACTTTTGAAGAGATTTGTGGGTAACATCAAGAGCATTCGTTTTCTTATATGAATTCATTTTAGCATGAGAATTTTTAGGTATATTCTAATTATTTTACTTTTTAGAATGAAACATATTATGTCACGGAAGGACATATCAGTCAAACAATTATTGGAGGTGAAAACAATAATATCGCAAGTCACATAAAGGGAAATGCGAGAGTGACAAAAATAACAAAAAATTTAAGTCACACAAAGTAGAATGAAAACAAGAGTAAATGTGAAGCATGAGAGCAACCTTCATTTTAAAAAATTGTATAACTTAAATATTATGTAATCATATTTTTGTTTCATCAATCAATTTTATTTTATTTATTTATTTATTTTTTTTTTCCAGGCAAGAAAGAAATTTCCCATTGCCAGTTTCAATGTGCCTCTTAAGCAGAATGATTTCAGGTTCCAACTAGTCCCTTCTCCCTCCCCCAATTTGTTTCCGATATTTGACCCTACGTTGGTTTCAAATTCTAACTCAATGTCGTGACCCTCCCATCAATTCAATCACGTCACATCTCTCTCTCTCTCTCTCATTTTGGATTTGTAATAATCCTCGTTTTTCACACATGAAATCCACTTCCAAAAACCACCCAAACAGCTCTACAGCTGATCAGACATCATCAACCTCAACACACAATGTGCTGTTCCTTCTCAATCTCCCTTCCACTGCTTCTGTTACTCCTCTCCTTTCCTTCCATTCCTCCTTCTCTCTCCACCAATCAAAATGAAAAGAAAAAACCACCACCCAACAACATGGATCCATCCGAACTGGAGACCCTGTTCAACATCATGGACACCATGTCCTCTGATCAAACCTGGAGAGTCTCCAATCCCAACCCTTGTGACCCAGCCTCATCCTGGCCTGGTTTAGAGTGCAAACAAGGTATTGATGACACCTACCTCCGTGTCACCAGGCTTGACTTTGGCACACCACCAAGCCCATCTTGCAAAGACACAGCCACTTTCCCTCCACAAATCTTTGTCCTTCCTCACCTTCAATCTGTGTTTTTCTTCAATTGTTTCACTCACACCAAAACCAACATCTCTGTTCCACAAAACAGAGTCTTCTCTTCTTCATTGCAACAGCTGAGTCTCCGATCAAACCCGGCACTCATCGGCTCAATCCCACCTCAAATCTCCTCACTGAAATCGCTTCAAATCCTCACATTGTCCCAAAACAGCCTTAGTGGGCAAATTCCAGCTGAGATTTTCAGTTTGAGCTCTTTGGTACACCTTGATTTGAGCTACAATTTGCTCACAGACACCATTCCATACCAAATTGGCAACCTCAAAAACCTCGTAGGCCTTGATTTGAGCTATAATTTGCTCACAGGTTTGATCCCACCCGCAATTGGCGAATTGGGTATGCTTCAAAAGCTGGATTTAAGCTCGAATTCGCTGGTTGGAAGCATTCCAGACAACATTGAGAAGCTCACTTCATTGGTTTTCATGGCCTTGAGCAACAACAAATTGGGTGGTGAATACCCAAAAGGATTGGCAGAGTTGAAGAGCTTGCAGTACTTCATAATGGATGACAATCCGATGTTCACATCACTGCCACTAGAGTTTGGTCAGCTTCACAAACTACAAGAGCTGAGGCTCGCCGACTCTGGGCTATCAGGAACAATACCACAAAACTTTTCACAGCTCATAAATTTAAGCACCCTGTCATTGCAGAACAACCGATTGACGGGTGAAATCCCGGTCGGCCTAGGCCGTCTCTCACACATATATCACTTGAATCTAAGCAAAAACTACTTGGGTGGTGTTGTTCCATTCAATTCAAGTTTCTTCAAGAGGTTGGGTAGGAACTTGGACTTGAGTGGCAATGCAGGGCTGTGTTTGAGTCCATCTGAACCATATGGTGTCAAGATTGGTGGAGTTGGCGTCTGTGGAAGCAACAACAGCAGTGGCTCTTCTATGATCCCACCAATCAACACATCCGAAGCTCCATCTGGCTTCTTCAAATCATGCTTTCTTTTTGGTGTTTTGGGTGTCTTGGAACTGCATCAAATATATCTCTCGGTATGAATTAATTGGATCTATTATGCTCTCTCTGTTTTTATGATTTAAGCTACAATTAGTGAACAATTTTGTATAATGTTTATGCAGTAAGTTTAGCTCTTTGCTTTGGGTAATACTTAATTCTCTCCCCCCCCCCCCCCCCCCCAAACACTGACACACACAAATTTAGAGCGAGAAGGGAGATTTGTTTTTTTGGGTGCAACCTGTATGTACAGTGTGTTTGTGTGTGTGTGTGTTGAGGAACATTAGTATAGTACCAAAGTACCATTATGCATTTGACATGACACTGTTGCCTTTCCTGAGGGTCCCCATTTTGTCTTTACAAGTTGTGGTAGGGTCTAGGAATGGTGAATTATGACAATTGGACAAAGTGGGCTTGTGTGTAAGGCGTTTGGTGTGTGTGTGTGTGTGTGTGTGTGTTTTCACCCTGGGGAAAGGTTATAAACAGTGGTGTTGGAGACATGGACCTACTTTGGAATAGATTGTACCCAATATTATGTATTCTATTTTGATTTTTGGAGTACCTCCAGTTCTTTTGTGTGTGTGTGTGTGTGTTTTTTTCTTATTTTGGCTACTATTGAGACTTAATTTTGGCTAATTTTGGTGCTGGATTGAACCTGCACCCAAGACAATCAGATTAAGGACATTGTGAATTTTATGTCCCTTTCCATTGCACAGGAAGTCCTTTCTTGTTTCTAGTGTCATTTTCTTAATTCTCTATATGTTTAAATTTGTACATGTGAATTATATAATCTGTTATATTTAATTTATTTTTTTGGAATTTTCATTACATACAAATTTGTGTTGAAACTCGAATTCTTGTTTAGTGGGAAAAAAATTATATCCTTGTTGCAGTTAATTTTAGTGTTGTGAGGAAAAATGATATGGATATGGATTTGGTTTTGGAGTGACCAATCAACGCACAAGGGTGGCGCATGGGGCCCACACTTGTAGAGTCTCCCTGGCGTCGGTGATACTATGTGATCCATGTTGTCAACTAATTATATTTTGTCAGATAAGTAAAAATACTTTTCTTTATTTGGTCATATCAGTATTTAATCAGTTGGTGGAATAAGTATTCGATGTGCTCAGTGCACCGTGCACGTATACAACACGCACGGGCATGAACGGTTGTGATGTGTCTGATACACCGGGCACATTGTATGTAATATTCAGTTGGTGATACCATGCCATTTATACAAAATGAGCAATAAAGTATTTTTCATAAATCCTAAAGCAAAGGACTGCCCTGTTTTCAAAATATAGACTTCACAAATTTAGAACCAAGCATTTCAAAGGCTGCAAGTGTCCATGAAAATGAGAAATTTTTATATATTTCGGGTTATATGGTCTCGGACAATCAAAACTTGACATAATTTTATTTCGACTTAAGTCGTATTGTGATTAGCCGAGATCATATAATCTCAAACCATATAATAATTTTTTGAGAATATACACCATTTGATGCCCCTGTATGCCAGGAAATTGTCTTCTTTCTCTAAGTAGGCTCAAACCTATCCTTCGTAATATCATGTATAGAGCAGGCTCAATCCATGCTTCTTGGCCATGAACACACATTATGCCCATGCCCTTTGAAAAATAGAGCCAAGCATTTCAAAGGCTACTCATGACTCAGGAGTACTCCATGGAATACACCATTTGATGCGCAGGAAATTAAATTGTCTTCTTTCTCTCTAGAGCATAGAGGCTCAAGCTGTCAAGCATGTCCTTGGAAATATCATTTATTTTATAATGACACATTGTGGCAATTTTATAAGCATGACAAGCACATGCTGGCATGCCTGCACGCACATAAAATTTGAATCATTTGACAAGACAAGAATAGATTCGTTCAATCAGTTCTGACATCAAGTAATAGGATTAGAAACATAAAAGAAGAAATGTCTATGAGAAAACGACTTGTCATTGTAATAGAAAGTATTTACCAATGAAGAAAATCAATAGATTTAGAAAAAGTTAATTGAGAGTTATTGCAAAAATGATCTGTAAAATATTGGTAGGTACTTTTCTTTTGCAGCGGAAATGTTTGTCCTTCTATTATCAGTATTCTCATACAAATCCTTGGAAATATCATTTTTGACACCTTTAATTTTCAACCTTTATTGAATTTTTCATAAGAAAATATAAATGAAAAGGGAAAAGAAAAAAGAGTCCGGGGCCATCCAATAAAACTGGAACGTTAGAGATCCTGTGCAAGAATGACATGCACAAATCGAGAAATGGTCCAAAATTTTAACTCGAAGTTCCTCAAGCAGCATCAGGTTTGAGGTTCGACTTTCATTGGGTGTAAATAATTTCTTTGGGGCAACGCCTTCGCGGTCATGCTTCACGATTTACCCGGTTTGGGGTAAGGAGGCGCCCTTCTTGCATTTTTGCGAATTAGTTGGAACAAAGTCTCAAACACTCTAGGTTAATATAAAATAAAATAAAATTAAAATAAATTAAAATAAAGTGAGGTTTGTTAGGACATGGAGTGGTGTCATTGAAGGAACAAGACCTTCAGAGGACTGAACACAAGGACACTTGAGGGCTGGAAAGCTGTGATCCCACTTCACTAGCTACCAGCTCTTACATTGAAAACACTTTAGAGTTTGTCAAACAGTATTATGGTACACTTAACATGCACCTTCTCTTCCAGTCTTGCTCCCCAAATAATTACCCTACTTCACAAGTTAGTTTGTACCCCACACACACACAGTCTAGCTCTCATAGGTATACTTATTGTGCTGAACCTCTTCAGTTCATTATTATTACAGTACAGTAATGATTGTGGTGGTGAAAAAATGCAATTGCACAAGCCATTTCAAAAGGGAAATTTTATTTGGTATCCTAGTTTTACCATATCTAGACCAAAACCTTACATTGTTACATTAAATCATTTTGTCAACTAGGTGTTCTATAGCCATGAACATTAGTTAAATGTAGTTGTTATTCTTTCTGCAATTGAAGTTTTAGTGCACATTCTTTCTGTATTATTTAAGGGCAAAGTGAAGAAAACACTCTTTATGTTTAAATTTTAGACAAATATTATTCCTAAGATTTTTTATTATTATTATATAAGTACGTTAAGTTTTAAAGAATGATCAAAGAAGGGTTTAGGGTCACAATTTAGTTACAAATTTAGGAACTTCGAAAATACAATTTTCTCTTTCAATAATGCCCTTATATATAAGAAGAAGAAAAAAAAAATAGAACCTTTACTCATTTTACATTTAATCATTTTTTATCCTTTTTTTAATTCAGTTATAGAGGGGCAATTAAGTCTTTTCAGCATTCAAGCCCCTTATTTACTCAAAAATTAAATGTTAAGAATTTTTTAGAACATATAGGGAGTTATAAATTCTATATTCATATTTTTCGCTCGCAACCCTATTATTTATAAATCAATTTTGCCATTTCTAGAGCAAACCATATTTTCATTGTTATATTAAGTCACCTTGTCAACTAACTAGGTGTTCATAGCAATGAACATTACTACATCATGAAAACAAATATCAAATAATTATGAAAAATTTATTATTCTTCCTGCAATATAAGTTTTAATATACTCTTTCTATACTATTACATTTGCATTTTTTGACATTTTTCTAACATATGATATCACAAAAGACAGACAAGAATGGGTCCAAATTAAGATTCTTTTATCTATTATGGGAGGCAAAAATTCCGTCTTTCTACTATGTAAAACTCATTATTATTTAGGTTTATTCCAATTTTTACTTGGTCGCTGTGAAGTTCTGCCATAAAATGTGAATGTGACAGACAAAATAATATATATGTGTATATATAAAAGTGATGTGAAAATAAAAATCACAATCAAATTGGGCTATAAAAGTGAAACTTGAAGTTGGCATAACTAGGATTTTTTTTTTGTTTGTTCTTATTTTCACAATGAGCTATGAATAGGACCAGTTCAAATCTCCTAAATTTGTGAAAACCATATTATCAAAGAATAAAACTACATTCCCCGTGGAAAAATGAGAACAAGAAGTAGAAAACAAAAGCCATTAATTAATTTACTGAATAAAAGTAGAAAACAAAAGCCACAGTCTATTCTTTACCCATTACAGTAATTTCCTCTTACAGCCTGTACTCTTTACTACAACTACAGTTAACTACTATTTTTCATGTTTGCATCTTTAAATGTGTTCTGTGTTAGGTGGTCTGGTTGATGAATTAATCGTTTCAAAGATTCGATATTGAATTCAACCATTATCTGGATGGAATGATACTAGAGGTAGGGGAGGGCTATCCCATTGTACAGCAGAACCATTAACTTGTGTTGACCACGGATACCCATTAGTAAAGTAGGTTACTAACTAGACAGTACAGAATCACTGTTACATGAGAGTTGATCGGGAGATTCAACCCCACACTCGGTGTATTAGATATGATTTGTTCATAAGATTTATCCTCTTATCCAACTATGCGGGGATGTTATTTTAAGAAGTACTCACACACAATACTTGTAGGAGGGTTATTTTGTCACTTCTTTTATCAAAGAACATCGAGTAGCATCAATTGCAGGAAAATAAAGTAGGAATATTATTTATTTTAAGTATGAATATTATTTATTTTTTATAGCACAGCTATAACGTACTTTACTAACTGAACGTATTAGAATCACTGTCCACATGAGATGATTTTGTTCGAGAGATTCAAACCCACCATAAGGTACTTTACTAATCGGACAGATGGTCATTGTTTAGCCGAAAAAGATTTTAGTCGTTGAATCCTCTCCGCTACGCAAGTTCGTAATTTAAGGCTATATGAATTGTGAGGCCAGTCCGTGTAGCACCACCCTTCTAAATTCTTTTCCATGGGGTATTCTTACTAGAGGAGAAAATTCCTAGAAGGAATACATTTTTACTTCATCAGCTAATTTTTTAAAGACAGTTATGTCATCATTTTTAAAAAAAATAATAACAATAGAAATGTTAATTAAATAAAGTGTAAAAAGAGAAAAGAAAAGTAAAATTCTCTTCGGGTGTACAAATGAGAACAGTGCCTCCACCAAATTTTTTATTTTTTTTTCTTTTGGAAAAATAACAAGAAAGTTTGAATCCTTGGTATTTTATTATTTTGAAAGTAAAAAAAAAAAAAATTATCCCGAGATTAAGTTTTAAAAACCAGAGTGGGAAATAAAAAGGGTTTGGTTGCACCAATGGGGGCAAATAGAAGAGTGAGAGCGATTGACATTAATACAACACGAAACAACTGCAACACTCTCTCTCACTCGCTCTGTGTCCCCGAAACTAAAAACTACATAAACATTTCAGAAGCTCACGTGGGCAAACGCTGTACAGCAAGCAAGCAACCCAAGGACGAACATTACTTCAAACACTTCACTTGTCCCTTTCCTTACCATTTTTCCTACTTACATTTGTTGTCCAGAAATTGCTTATTTTTAGTTTGCTAAGAATATTTAAATAGACCCGCAGGGGCGGCAGCAAAGTTGGTAGGTGGGGGAGTCTCTAAGTACTAGACAATCATATCTAGCATTTGGGTATGGGTTCGTTTCTCCTCCAACTCTACAAATTCCTGACTTAAAATGTTACTTGCACTGTAGGGTCGGGTGAGTAGTCGGAGGTTTACTTTGTAGTTATAACTACAAGTCCAAAGGGAGGGTACAAAAATGTGAGTTTCACCATGCACAATGGTTGTGGAATAAATATAGTTAATCAGGGGTGAATAAGTTAAACTTGCTCTTTTAGTTGATTTTTGCCCTAATTTAATTTTACTCAAATAAAACTAATTTCATAAGCTCACAATGCAAAAATAAAAAATGCAAGTAAAGTAAAAGTGGGGTTAAACGAGTGACAGGCTGTTTTTTTTTAGCGAGTAAATCTTAATCGGTAAAAGTCATCCAATCGCAAAAAAAAATATTGGAGACTATATACTATCACGCGATCACAATCGAAAAGATTTACTATAGTTGAAGTAAAGTACATTGGACTTTAATTTAGGCTCAGATCCCTTCACTCTATCAAGAACCCAATTTGTTGAATATTTTTGGCTTTGTGACTCCCTAGTTCAAGCACTCTTAACTTTAGGCTTACTACATTAATCCCTGTAAAAAGATTGCTAGTAGGTCAACGAATACTCCACGAATGCTTTGACTCTTCAAAGTGAGATATCTTCCTCATTTTCTTCAAACACGGATTGTTGAAATTGAAATAACAAATCTATTTCGACTTTACGACTCCCTCATCCAAACGCTCGACTTTAGGCTTACTCCGTTAATTCCTGTAAAAAGATTGCTGGTAGGTTAACGAACACTCCACAAATGCTTTGACCCCTCCAAAATGTGATCTCTTCCTCCTTTTTTTCAAACACAGATTGTTGAAATTGAAGAAACAAATCTGTTTTGATGGCTGGTAGCAATGGATTTTCGATGAGAACCAACTATGATCAACAAAAAAAAACACATCCTAAATCACTTGTGTGTAATATAGTATGTGTATTCTCAATGTGAAAAATAAACAATCTCTGAAAATTTCTCAAATTAGCTCTCTTGGTTTTGAAAACTCTATCACAATTCGAGTCATCGTAAATTAGCCCTCTAGATTTTGAAACTCTATGACAATTCGAATCATCGTGAATTTGAGATCGTAAGATATATTTATAGATATTTCCAAATTATGGATGGATTTGTCTTTTTAAACTGTAAGTTACGAGGGAAATCACAAAGTGACATATGTGCACATTATATGATACATCGTGTAATTTAGTGATGTGTTAAACTGCCTTTTTGTTCAAAATGTGGTATGTTTGATGCAATGGAAATAGATGCACCAGTTGGTTAACCACTTAACCACCTAGCTAAAGGCAGCATATTCCACACACCCTCATATATGTACACCCTTCAGAGCCACTTATGCAACTGTTGAATTATATATATATATATATATATATATATGTATACCCTCTATAAAATTTGATCCCACGCAACAATCTTGAAAAAATGGTTAGAATAAAATTATCTTCTTGAAACCCCAAGTCATATTATGGTCTTTTGGGAGACAAATAAAGCACGTTCTTGTTTGAAAAATTTTAGGAGTGGCAATTCGTGTTCGTGGGGCATAATCCTATCGTGTCGATGTAAGGGTATTATACTAAATAAGTAAATCCAAACCCAACACATTTAATAATCGTGTCAAGAACCGTCAACGCTAACCCAACTCGTTTATTAAATAGGTAAACGTGTTAATCCGTTTAATGACCTGTTTATCAAAACGAGACATTTAATATTTAATTAAATAGTAAATAATAGAAAAAAATTATCATAATTAACTCAAATATTCAAAATAAGAAGAAAAATCATAAGGTATAAACAAGATTTATATTGAAATGACTTACCTATCAATAATAATTGGGTTTAAGTAGGTAACATATTACATAAGTTATATCTACGATTATAACCAGGGGTGGCTCGAGCCTTAGGCGAGTTAGGCGGCCGCCTAAGGCCCCAGCCAATAAAAAAGGCCTCAAAATATTATAGTTACCTAGTATATGATATATTGTAATTGTTTCCTTATTGAACACTAATTCTAAATTATTTATCTCCTAAAATAAGTCTTCTTCTTTTTCTTTTTTTTTTTTTTTTTTTTTTTTTTTTTTTTTGTTTTCTCACTTCTCATCATCATTAATACCTTTCATTAAACTTTAACCAACAAAGAAATTATTTATCTCCTAAAATATCTCATTCTTTTTTTTATTTATCTCCTAAAATATCTCATTAATATTTTATTTCTTTGTCTATCTTATACACGTTTTTTTTTTTTACACAAGCGCTATATATATTTAATATTTTTTTCAATAAATTGCACCATAATAAATATTTAGCCGTTGTATGGAGAAGTAAAGAAACTTTTCACATTCTCTTTTTCTAGATTTTTATTTTATATATTTAATAATTAATATATTGCATATTATGATATGAAAAGGCCCTCAAAAAGTAAGAATGATGATTTTTAATTAATTATTATTTAATAATTAATATATTACATATAATGATATGAAAAGGTCACTTTTACTTTTCGCCTAAGGCCCAATTTATAACGAGCCGCTGCTGATTATAACATATTGAGTTAAATGGGTTATAAACGAATTATACGGGTAAGATTCACAATCATTTTTACCGGTTCTTAAACCTCCCTCTCAATTATTCTCCTCCTCAATATAACAATATTCTAAAACCAAGCATCACTTAAAGTTAACTGATTATCACCTTGATCTTCCATCTCATGGTCCAAACAATCACTCAAAATATTAACAAAAATCCTACTTGCTGCATAAGTCAACTCGATCCGCAACCTTTTTCAGACAGTTAACCAAGGATTCGAAACTTCATCGCATGAATTGGGACCGTGAGGCCCTTTGGTTAGGAATATGAAGCCCTGGGGATGGTGAACCGACTGGTGGTCGAAGGGTTTTGATCTGGATATAGCACCTGCTGATCTGATTCTGTTCTTCCAACGTAAAAATGGCAGGTGTTCATAGAAAATGAACAAACCATTTTGTCAACCATCTCTCCTCATCGTAGTTTCTGGACTTGTGTTCATGTCTTCCCATGCTGGATGCTTGGAAGCAGTGCTTCAGTTTTGTCAATAATTGTGCAGAACACAAATAGGCAGAATCCGACAGAGCGACCAACTTGGAATATGAAGGTGACATTCATGGGGGAATTGTGTGACACTGAAAATCAAAGATGAATAACAAAATGGCCACGGCCAGAGTGATTCATATTGTCCAAGAAAAGTGAAGTCTTTCAAGCACAGAAGGATTCTATTTAGTGCGGCGGTGCTTTATGATGCACTTAGAATGCGACCAACTTGGAATATGAAGGTGACATTCATGGGGGAATTGTGTGACACTACGAAAATCAAAGATGAATAACAAAATGGCCACGGCCAGAGTGATTCATATTGTCCAAGAAAAGTGAAGTCTTTCAAGCACAGAAGGATTCTATTTAGTGCACAGAAGGATTCTATTTAGTGCGCCGGTGCTTTATGGTGCACTTAGAATGCGACCAACTTGGAATATGAAGGTGACATTCATGGGGGAATTGTGTGACACTACGAAAATCAAAGATGAATAACAAAATGGCCACGGCCAGAGTGATTCATATTGTCCAAGAAAAGTGAAGTCTTCCAAACACAGAAGGATTCTATTTAGTGCGCCGGTGCTTTATGGTGCACTTAGAATGGCGGGGATCGTCCCACCAGCACGCCGTGTCCCTTTCAAGAACTCAACTCACCAAGAGATCAAGGTTTACGAGAGAGATCCAACTTTAGCTCTATCAAGGACACATAAAAGGTCTCAACAGTTTAGAATCTACAGAAGCAGATAGAGGGACATTTTGTTAACACATCCTAATCCAAAAGGAAATTAGGGAAAAAAGAGGAGCAAAAAACCAAAGTGAGATCTAACTCTGTAATAGAAGAATGAATGCATCTGAGAAACATAGTAATTCCAGCCACTGGTGATAAGGAAGTGAACATAATAAGAAGATGAACAGAATGCACAAAATTAGACTCTCATGCTAATCACCTCTTAAGTTGCTTAAACAGCATTGCAATATTAATGATATTGCTGAGCCTAAAATTGAGATTACATGCCGCAGATGATCTAACCTATTAATTGGTTCACCGATAGCTAATGAAAGGCAACATAATCATATCTTTCATTTGAAAATTGGGCCAACACACAGACACACATACGTGCACACATGTAACAAATGATTCATTCTGGCTACCAAACTCTCATAACGTGAGCACTAGTGTTTTTTATAAACCTAGAATCTTCATATATATTCTGGTTTAACATTCTCATTACATTTTTGTCCAAAATACTGAACTACTGATATACAAACTAGGAAATGGAACTTAGAAGGGATTGACATTCGTCCTATTTTTTCTTTTCTTTTTTTGATTAGTAAAGATGTAATAGAAAGCGTTCAAACAGGAACGCATCCCACAAAAGCTACACATGGCCTAACATGGCCCCAAAACTCTCGAGTCCAAAAAATCATCCGTCTCCCCCATAGATTTACAATTTCTCCCAAGAACCCAACAAAAAAAGAGAGCTAAGAATAGAGAACTGCAGCATCCCAATAGAAGACTCTGATCCCTCAAAAGATCTCCTATTACGTTCAAGCCACAAGCACGACCAAAAACACAAGAGCACTGCCCTCCATATCTTACTTACCAACTATATTGACTCTGTAAATGCACTCAAGTACATCTTCAACAGCAAAACCACATTGATCTCCTGGTTGAACGTTGTTTGCTTTGCGAAATCCTTTCCACCCGCTTGCCAGAACTTTGACACCATATTTCTCATGGTAGAGAACTGGCCACAATCTTGAAACTGGATCTCGAAGGAGTACAAGCTTCCTGTCCATTCTTGTCCTACCCTTGAATGAAATTGATGGCAAGTTTGTTGGCAACTCCTGCAGAGTATTAAAGGGATGTGAAAAAAGATTAAATACAATAGCAAAGGATATATGATTGCATCAAGTAGAAGGTAGAAAGTATCCCGAAAATGTGCTCACTGGTGCACCAGTGAGATAAATACATGGACTACAACCAGTCATTAAGCGTAAACATCCAGAAGTGGAAATGAAGGAACACGGCTAGATGATTACAGTCATTCAACTGCAATTTCTAGGGTAGGTCATCAACATTCCCAATTGTTACCAACAGGCCAGTGGCCTAACGGTACCAGACCCCGAGTTCGGGCCTCAATGGAGGCATGTGTGTGTGAGTACCAACTAAGGAAAAAAAAAAATCCATTCCCAACTGTTCAGGAAACAAGACCATAGAAAGGATTGGAGTGGTCCCACCAAGAAAGCGTTTGGTTCTGAATCAAAACTAAATCAACTTTTCTTCCCTCATAAATCATTATTGGTATTATAACCGTTTACAGAAAAGTAGGAAAATGAATATATTTTAAAACTATGCACCAAGCAAGGATTTATTTACATATAAAGAAATTGAAAGAATCCTCAAAATCTGGTTCCCAGTAAATTCAATGTTTCCAACACAATTTTGGGTACTTGATAGCCATGATTTGAATTCATTCTCGAGTAGATATCGACATCAAGTTTTTTTTTTTTTTTTTTTTTTTTTTTTTTTTTTTTTTTTTACATTCTTAATGTTATTATGGGTAGTTTAGTGTCTCGAGAAACAATTTTTTTGGGGATCCAACACCACATTTTTTTTTTTTTTTCCTTTTCTACGTTCCTAATCCTCGCTTTACTTACATACGTACATATATTATTTATTTATTAATCTAAAAACGTTAGAAGAGCCAGTTAAGAATTTAGTTCGTTGAAGAGATTAGACATATTAGATGTGGAAAGAGAGTAATAAAGGATGCTGATGTGGCAAAAGACAGAATAAATAGGATTACACAAAAATTGTCTTTTGAACAATGTTAATAGTTGGCCTTTTAAACTGTTTAATTATCCAATTTACCCCTTTTTTTTACTCTTATATTTTAGTTTATAATTATATATGGGAGAGGATATATGATGTTATATTTAGAAGGTATAGGTATTTGGTTCCTTTAAATTGTAATTCATCTCATCTTAACAGAGTAAAACGGATGTATTATTATTATTATCATTATTTTTAGTTATTTATTTACTTATTTTTTGCAGAACTTCTGTGACCAAATATCATTGGAGGAGTTTTTTCATCATTTAGCTCGATCCAAAGCCATAACTTCAAATAATACATATACTCACAGAGTAGTTATTGGCCTTCCCTGGACAAGGCCAAATCATCTTAATCAGTTTTCTCGTTTCACTCCAATTAGTACTACTTCAAACATCTAATGTGTTCACTTTTTATTTTTTATCTTACCACACCTTTGTCTCAACTTTAGTATTTATGCAACACATTTTATGAATATGGAATTTTTTGGTCACAAAAAATTCGGTCCAATAGAGTTTGTATAGCAATTGTTTTATAAATTTTTTAGAGGTATATGCCGATCACACAAGATGCCAGAAGCACTCCTCCATTTCATCCATCTAGCTTTATCCTATAAGTAACATCATCTTCAATTTTTCTGTGTGTCTAGTTGAGCCTAGGTGAAACAATTTTGTTTTTTGGTACCTCTTTATTCCTGAGACTACATCCCTAATTTTATTTCTAGTTTTACTATTGTTGTGTTCCATGTAGTCAGTTTTAGTCTTGCATATCTCAAACCCTCTTGATTCTAGAACTTCTTTCCAAAGCTGCAATTTATCACTTTTCCCTTTTCTAATTCCTTAAATCAAAACGATGTCATCATCTTGAATCTGTTTTGTTGGTTCATTCATAACTAAGGCAAACAGCTATGAGCTTAATGTCATCCTTGATGTAAACCTATAATAATGGGGAATGTTGTTGTTTCTCCTTTAACTGTTCTAATTATGGTCGTTGTCTCATCATACCTGTTCTTTAGAACATCAATATATCTATTACAAACTTATTTCTTATTGAAAATACATCATATTATGTCTCTAAGAACCCCATTGAAGGCTATACGATTTTCATTCAACAGCTTCTCAAATTAGGTTTTTGACAATTCTTTAATGTATCATATTTCACTAAACCTTTAGATCCTCAATCTTGATGCACTTAATAATGTTACAATCTCTATCTATCCTCTCCCTCAGCAAGTTTGTATATTTTCTTCCTGTTGTCCTTTATACCTAGTGTTTAATCAAATATCATCTTATCTCACAACTCTTTTAACCTATATCTATGCATGTCTAAATTTTGCGAAAGTTTTTCCATTTCTAGTTTTTTTCCAAAATTTAAAATGCTCGCCTTTTGTTTTATGATGGTTGGATATTCTCATTCCATCATCAGATTTCCTTATAATGGCCTCTTCCAATCAATTTTATAGGGATCTCCTTTCGTATTCTTTAAATACTTTCAGCCATCTTATTCAACAATGATTTTTTTTCCTAAATTTATTCAACAATGATTTAGTTTCACATTCTAAATCCCATGTCATTTCTTTTAAAACACTATTCTTAAATAGTTCTACCTTATTCCCTATCAAATTCCACCATGCGGTTCTTGGATTTATAATTCCCTTCTCTTCATTGATATTCCTTTAATACACGTGTAAGACTATCAACCTATGTAGTGATGTTAAACTCTCGCCTAAAGTGATATTACAATCTTTGCATGTATGTCTATCTATTTTTCTACTTTGAAAAGAATCAATCTAAACTCATATTTTATCCACCTTTTCACTTATCAAAAAAAATAAATAAATAAATTATCCACCTTTAGAGGTTTTAAGTGTTCATTTTGCTACCATGGATTATATGCAACCCCAAAATCTTATATAACCTCTCCAGCGTTGATCTTTCCTTAAAATCCATGTCAACTACGTGTTATTTCATAGACTCCAAGATCCTTTCCCACATGACCAATAAAGTCTTCTCTAATAAATGATTTCTCTCCTTCAAGTATTTTATGAATTTATTCATCTATATCTTCCCAAAATTGTGATTTAATAAATAATTAAAAAAAAAAATTGTGCTTTAGTATGTTTTACGAATATCATCCTATTCCCTTTTTTAATTATTCTAACAAAATTTTCTTTTAAATTCTTATCCAAAACTATCCCTAAATAAAGTTTATATAATGTATTTTCAATGCTCTAGCTTTCACTCATACCTACTTAGTCTTTTGCAAACAAGCTATATTAAATTTCTTCTAGTCGTAGTGTCTACTAACTTCATCCCTTTACCTGTCAATGTTCCTGTATTCCAAGTTTTCAATCTAAGCCGACAATCTTAGAATAACTTCTTTACTCATGATGGTTCAAGAAAATACAGGTAATTAACATACTAGGATGGAAATAAACCAGATTATTCCTCACAAATAAAATAAAAACGGGAACAACTTAACTCAAAGATAACAATTATTACCAAATCATATAATTAAATAAAATAAAAAAAGCATAAAGGCAAAAACAACCAACAGAACAAGTTAATGAGTAACATACAAGAAATGATTGACTATCTCCCACCACCGAACTGATGGCATCCAGTGAGGAAACATCAGTTGAATCAACAGGTTCATTTTTCACCACTTTGTAGCCTTTATAATTATCACTTTGACCGCGCTCATTGCTCATCTTTGGCTCCTTCCCTGTATTTCATTCATGTATTTGATACTGAGATGAAAAACTGCAAGGTATGTGCATATTTGTGTGCTAAACGAAATAAAAGAAGTAAAAGCAAAATAATACCATGTCTTGTCTCCTCATGAGTGCCCATTTCTCTCTCTTTTTTAACCACTTGCATCCTTTTGCCTGTTTAATATAGCCATTAATTTGTATTTATTGGATAATGATCAAGTACAATATTTATGAAATAAAAGATGAAGCTTTTGTAACAATAGAATCCCGCTCCAACAAACCACTATGCAAATTGGAAATAGGGAAGGAACACAAACCAAACTGGCAATTTTGCATTGCAATAGAGACTGGAAGGTTATGGAACTCTGAATATCCAGTAATTTTCTGCAGGACATTCGGACTACTTTCCATGAGGGAAGTACATTCCTTCTGAGACACTCCATCAGTGCCTGCTGATGGTTCAGCATTTTTAATGTGAGGAAAAATAATAATATAATGATGATATAGGAAATGATAAAACAAAACATATATATATATAGGACTTCTAACTTCACACAAATAATTAATAAAATAACTAACTTGACTGTGCGTCTCTCTTTCTCTTAGCTTTCTGGCATTTTTTTATAACACTATTCGACATCTCAGCATGGCTTTTTCCATTTCTTGCAGCTTCCGCAGCAGATGTGCCAAGGAGATGCCCAGAGCTATTTCCACTGCCAGAATCTTTTCGAGACATGAATATTATTTTATCCATTCTCATAGAATCATCATTTTTTGCATTTGTTGCAAAGTGAGATGTTTCAGAAGGTGCTGCCCAACTCCCAACTGCTACAGCAGCCAGACCATTATCAACTGACACTGCTTCAGCCGCCAGACCACTATCAACTAACACTGCTTTAGCAGCCGGACCATTATCAACTAACAATGTTTCAGCCTGAGGTCTCAGCACTGTGTCAGCGTGATGTGACCTTTCATCCTCAACTAGAACTTTCTTAGTGTCATCTGCACCGGAACTGCTCATTGGCCTTCCAAAGTTGGACAATTCATATAAAGAACTTCTGCCTACTCTTTGCTTCATTCTTGGATCTCTATCAAAAGTTAAAGTATTTTCCATGACCATTGGTACTTTTTCTACACCAATCATATGACATTGGCTTTCAGTTATTTCAATGTCTGGCTGAGATACAACAGAAGTACTGGAAACCTCTCTGTTCATTGAACCTTTATCAACTGTATAGCATGGTCCATCTTTGGCAATAGAATCACTATTTGTCCTCATTATTTTCTTACGTCCACGGCTCTTTTCAGCTAGTTTGTGGCACCCACTTTTCCCATAGATTTGAACAACAAAATGGGATCCCTTGATGTAATTGAATACCAAGAAATCTCCTGATTCCAGATTATGGCCCAATGAGAAAGCATGCCATCCCTGTTCAAATGCAATGGAACCACCACTATTGGATACTTTTACACTCCACCGCAGCCCCATTGAATCCTCAAGATAAGTTTTCTCGCCAACCAAAGCTGACACAGTTCGAGCAAATTTTGGAGGCAAGAACTGCAAAAGAACGGCACAATTTAGAAAAGTTTTATGGATAGTAAGGAAAAATCTCCAGAACTTTAAATGCTTGTACGCATACCAAAGCCATTAAGGTCCTTTCCATTGCAAAAACATAGAAGTGACAGCATCCATCTCATATTGATTCAGTTCATTCAAATCTAGGATATTTATTCAGGGAAAAAAAAAAAATCTAGGATATTGTTCAACTCTGATTCACCAATTTTTCTATTTTTAATACATTCACAGAATCAGACATTCAGACTCAACTACATCTTGAACAACTCCATAATTAGAGCTAAAATTACTCTGTTTTACACTATCATTATCTAAGTAATATTGAAAAATCTCAACATGACCTTTCAAAAAAAAAAAAAAACAAGAAAGGGAAGAAAACTCTGGACATGATCAAAATTATGAACTGGGATTCAAAAATCAGAACTGGGTCAGACTCAACTTGAAGATTCAATTGGGCAGCGGTAGATATTAAAAGTATCCAATATTAGTGGCTCCATTGCGTTTCGATGGAATGCTCTCTCATTGGACCATGATCTGGAAGTTGGAGATTTCTTACTATTCAGTTACATCACGGGATCCCATTTTGTTGTTCAAATCTATGGAAAAAGTGTGTGTCATAAACTAGGTTTCTCTGAAAAGAGCCGTGGATGAAAGAAAAGAATGAGGACAAACAGCAATTCTATTGCCAAAGATGGACCATGTTATACAGTTGATAGAGGGTTCAATGAACAGAGAGTATTCCAGTACCTTCAGTTGTATCTCAGTCAGAGATTGAAATAACTGAAAGCCAATGTCATATGATTGATGTAGAAAAAGTACCAATGGTCATGAAAAATACTTTAGCTTTTGGTAGAGATCCAAGAATCAAGCGAAGAGAAGGCATAAGCTCTTTATATGAATTGTCCAACTTTGAAAGGCCGGTGAGCAATTTTGGTGCAGATGTCACTAAGAAAGTTCTAGTTAAAGATGAAAGGTCACATGTTGATACAGTGCTGAGATCTCTGGCTGAAGCAGTGTTAGTTGATAATGGTCCGGCGGCTGAAGAAATGTTAGTTGATAATGGTCCAATGCCTGAGGAAAGAGAAAATGGAGAGAGGAAGAAGAGAGAGGAGAGAGTGGTGGCAATGGCGGGAGGAGGTGGAAATCCTTGGGGGCAGAGTACGAACAGAAAACCCTAAGTGCTGCTTTTATAAGTGTCGACAAAGTTGCCATTTCACAAGCTAAGGTATTTTGCCATTTTTATTGTTAAAATATTCCAGGTATAAAGGTAAAATCACTCAAAAAAAAAAAAAAAACTTGACATCAGTAAGCCACTATCAGTTAGAGGGGGTCATTGCAAGATATTTCAAAATTTTCAGCTGTGTGTAATTAGGAAAGGTCATTGTATTTAATCCAAAAAATAAATTAAAAGTCAATGCAGTTACCTTCTCAGATGAACAAGTCCTTAGTTGGGACTGGAATAAAACTCGGTGTCAAACAAAGGTAGTAACATCTTTACAAATTGCACCTTCACAAACTGAATGGCATTCATTTGATTTCCACCATTTCTTTTGGCTTGTGTAATGTGATTTTGGTAATAATTAGTAATTAATTATTCATAAACCGTAACCTGGAAATTCTTCTACTATCACAGTACAGTAAAGAACCTCCCAGAGAGTTCACAAGACCCATCTCAGTATTATGAAAATACAAAAAGAAAACACAGCATATACATCACGAAGAATCTCAGAGAAAGAAAGTTCAAGCAAGTTGACAACTGTTTCTTCCCCCTCCCTCGTCCTCAACTATTTCCTGTTTCAATAATATATTCAAAACTTGTATAAAAAAAGATTGAAAAATATATTTAATTTCTACTAGCAATATAGATACATTACCAAGTTAGATTCTATTTAGTAATTCAAAGTGTTCAACACAATATGCTTTAGTTAAGGGCAAGAACCATCTAGCAGTTAATAATATCTCGACACAACAAAATAACGTCATATATCCAGCACAACCAGTTTGTTACAGAAAAAACCAAAGTTGCTTCTTGTGCCAGAAAATTTCCAAGCATACAACGTGTAAGAATATATGGCACCAATTCAAACTTGTCCAACTGCAATTGATGATACAACCAATTGACATAATATGATGCAGTAAAACCAGTTGAGGTCTCAATCTTACAGCAAGATTGTTCACCGCAGCAAAGATTTTAGCATACAACAAACCAAGCCAAATAATGATCAAATCCATTATTGATTTGTATGCGCAAATAAGCATGTGCAATAAACAAAACCCCTATTGCGGTACCATCTTTCCTAAAAAAAATAACAATTATGAAAGGGAGTGCCACCATTTAACACACTTTTCCTTGAAAAAAAAAAAATAAGACACAGAAGAAAATTTTCTATTTCATGCAGCCATAAAAAAAATTCAATTATTTAACATTGAAAGGCATTAGATTATGGATCAAATAGAAAAATAAAACACATCAATACCAAAGGTCAAAAGTTAACAAACGTGTACTTTGTGATATAAACTTAACCAGCAAAAAGAAATTTTAAAAATGAGCCTGTGAAAGAAGGGTAAGATCAAACAAATAGAGGATAATATAGAGAAAGAAGAAATATGTGGATAGATGTGTAATAAGTAAGGGAAAAAAAAAAAAAAAAGAGAAGCAACATTAAAATCATATAAAGCAACATATTAAATCAACTAAAAGAGAAAAAAAAACAGGAGATATGTAGTTATACCAGAACTTTTGAAAAATCATCGCCGATCATGACTTTAAAAAATGAGGTAATGGTGGCTGATGAGTCTTTCTTCTTCCCATGAATCAATTGACAATTCTGGGTGCACTCTGCGCATGCTTCTACATTGCAACCCATCTTGTCTTCTTGTCTGCTAAAACCTGCTCTGCTGCAAACCCTTGCAAGTAAATATATATTTGTGTGAAACAAAATTGATGAAAAGGGAAAGGAAGGCAAAGAAAGAAGATCTAACTTAAACAAGTATAACAATACCTACTGCATTAAATATATGGCATAGATGGGTCAGCTATTTCTCAACAAGTGCAATAAAGTGCCTCCCATTATTCTCTTTTGGCTGTTGTGAAGTTGTTTCGGAATGAGCTCCCCTCTTGATGGTTCTTTCAATGATATTTGCTTATTTAAAATTTAAAATAAAATAAAAAGTGCCTCCCATTACCACTCCAACAACACCACCAAGTTCTTAACAACACAGGGATATTATTAAAAAAAATTATATGGTCCCCCAAAATTGCTGTTTTTTTAAAAAAATATAAAATAAAAACTCTGATTTTATCTTTGTTTTCATTCTTACTCTTCTTCTTGAATAATTTTTTTTATTCTATTCAAAAAAGTTACATTCCCTTTATTCAATCAAACTCTTTTTTTTTTCCCTTCAAAGTTCTCTAATTTTTTTTCTTCACTATGTGCAACAAATTAGTTACCAAACATGTTTTTGTTTCAGAATAAATCACACCAAAAAAAAAAAAAAATTTACTGTTTCTACCTCATATGAAATAGAAAATGCGAAATAGAACTTGTCGCCAAAAGGACCCTTTTTTTTTTTTTTTTGATAAGTAAAAGTATTGGTAAGTTGTTGCCAAAAGGACCCTTAATATCTGTATTTTATGTTTTCGATTTTTTTATAACAATTGTTTTTCGAATTATTAAATAATATATAAAATTTGATTACTGCACTATCACCACACTTCTATTTTTTGGCTTGTTGTCTTGCTGCACTGGTCAGCTGGAAAAAAATAAATAAATAATAACAATAATAATAATGATTATTTTATCCTGTCTAATATGGTGCCCCTGAAACTAATTCCTAGTTGCATCCCTGTTCATCCACCCATTTTGGTGATTTATTAGTAATTCAAATCCCCTTTGACCTTTAGTGCATATTGTGCTTGTGCATGCTACCCTAAAACATATATATATAATCTCTTGAAAGCTTGTTTATGAACCCATCATAACAAAAGGCAAATTGGTTCACTTGGAAAAATCTTTCGCAATTGTCAAAGTACCTCTTTTTTATTCAAGAATAACTATTATTCAAGTATACATTAATACACGTGTAAACCACATTAATACAACGTCCTAGGTTTGATTCTCGCGAGGCCCAAAAACACTAGGGCTTAAATTGATGTGTGGTTTGGGGGTGATTGTACATATTCGGAGTCTGCAAACCATCTAAAGTGGATAGAGGGTGGATTTATTATCCGTTACCAAAATAAAATAAAATAATACATGCGCAAGAACTCGAAATCAACAATACAAAAAGTATTATCATTCAAGATTACAGGCACAATGCCGCATGAACATCTATGATCCCAAACAAGGTCCCTAGAACCCTAATTAGGGAGGTTTAAAGATTACTTTGATAAAAAGCAAATGCATAATACACACATCAAATTTATATATATATATATACACACACACAAACACATGTATATATAGGAAGAAAAAGGAAGAGTTGAATGATCGAGAAAAGAGCTCACTTTTGACGATTAAGTACTGAGAACTTTTGCAAGCCTTTAGTGGACATTAGATCAAGCCTTCTCTGTGTGTACTGTGTGTGTACGTATCGGTTTTTTTTCTCTTCGTTGGCTAGCTCTCTCTCTCTCTCCTGTGGTGGATAGGCAATCAAAGTTGGGTGTCCTCTGTTTCTTTCTCTCTAGAGAAAATCTCTCTCTATCTTGCTACCGAAGCAGTCTTTTCCGTCATCAGACCTGGAGTCTCGATGTAGTCGAAGTACGTACCATCCAAGAACACCTTTTTAGATTTGGTGATTCTTTGCAAATCTACTTATACGACGTCGTTTCAATTGGTATATAATGAAGCCCAGCTGTGGGACCCACCACAACTGGTGGACCAAATGACAATGAAGCAAATTTGTGCCGAGTCACTCTGCTTCCCCATCTCTCTTTTTTAAAAAAAGATATGTTTTATTCAAATCTTTAAAACTTAAATATGCATCAAATAAACATTCATCAACATAAGAACAGTGGCGGTCTTCTCCTAGTGGCAAAAGGTCGGACTTAAGTGTCCGTATGTTATAATTTTAAGTTCGAATCTCTTTTTTCCTAATTCCACTAACTAATTACTTACTTTCTTGCCAGATCAAAAATAAAAAATAAAAGAAATACATTCTTCTATGGATTACACTATTCTAACAACAATAAAAGTAATTTTTTGCTCTAAAAATTTTGGTTTCCCACACTTTACTATTTTTCTTCAAAACTTATTTTACCCAACAATTAATTGTTAGTATCAATTCTTGGGTAAATTCTCTCATTCATTGTGGGTTGTCAATAAGTTGTTTCTATGAAACAATCTTTCTTTTTCTTTTTTTCAATAAAATAGGACAAATGATATTTGTGTAATATAATCTAGAGAGATAGAGAGATTAAAAGCTAAAAAAATAAAATAAAAGTTGGGAGGTTAAAAAATAGGAAATTTTTTAAAATTCGACAACTTAAGTCTCACATATTTCAAATACGACCGTATCCAAGTAATATATGGGTGAAAGAGCTACCAAACTAAAATAATTACCAAATAAGAAATTTTATTCTTTTAGTCCAAAATACCCCCGCTACCTTTAAATGTTCCATTGAACTCCTTTCTTTCTCTACTCTCTCTCTCTCTCCAACCACCATTACCAACACCCACCACCACACCACCACCCATCTACATCATTGCCACCGATACCCACCATCACCACCACCCACCCATCACCATTACCAATAACCACCACCCAAGGACGAATCCAAGAATTGTCAATTTGGGTTTGGATTTGGGGGGGGGGGGGGGGGGGGGGGGGGGGGCGCTAACGAAGAATGATGATCGAAAGATGAAAGAGTTGAAATTTTTTAGAGAAAATATTGAAATAGAGTTAGAAGGAGAGAGTCTAGGCTACATAGAAGACTAGAAATTTAGATATATTAGAGGGAGCTCTCTGATTTGTGCTCTGGCTCTTTAGTCGGGCTTTAAGGCTTGTTTGGCTTGGGCATGTTTGGTTGGGCCTCTATTTTAAAACTGTGGCTTAGATCTTGGGGTTGTTTGGATGAGCTAATATTTGGAGAGTTAATACTACTAATTTGTTTTGTTTTGAGATTGGGCTAAATTTACCTATACTAAATTTTTTTTTTTTTGGGGGGGGGGGGGGGGGGGTTCAAGCTCCCCCTTCAATCCGCCTGTGCCGCCACCACACCACCACCCACCTCCATCACCACCACCAATACTTACCATCACCGCCACAAATACCCACCCACCTCCATTATAAACACATACACAGCACCCCACCGCCACCTCCTCCCCCACCAATAGCTTTAATTCCCTCTTTCTAAAAAAACTCATGTACCACCACTACCTAACCTTACCTTAATCCCCACCATCCACCACCACCACCCCTCATCGCGGACCACCAATCACTCCCACCATCTCTCTCTCTCTGTGTATACATATATATATATATACACAAGTGCACGCATATATATATACATATATATATATATATCACCACCCACCATCACCACCGACATGGCGTCGTAGAGGATTAATCTTTGAGGTCGAGGATTGTTGTGGGTTTGATTTTGGGAAACCATTAACTCTCCGTTGACACCCACATTACCATGGAGACCCACATCATCATCAACAACAACAAAAACACACACCCCACTCGATTAGATCAACTTCTGCAATTATGCCTAATGTTGGTTTGTGGTTGAAATAAAGTTGCACACAAGTAGTGTAAAGGGTGGGCGCTTGCCCATTTATCCAAAAGCTCAAGTTATTGGGTAGTACTGCATACCTAACCATTTATACCAATGTCACTTCCTATCTGGATCCGATGTGAGGCAAGTCTCTCCTTATAACATTCTCCCCCACCCGAACCCACTCAACGCCCTCATTACAGTCGGATCACCCTGCCTACTTGGGGTGAAGACCCAGATGCCCTCTGGGCCGAGTGCTTGGCGTGACACCGGATCAAAGATTGGGTTTGATTTTGATACCAACTGTAATGGGTAAGTGCTTGCCCATTTACATAAAAGCTCAAATTGTTGGGTAGTGTTGCATACCACCCCACTCGATTAGATCAACTTCTGCAATTGTGCCTAATGTTGGTTTGTGGTTGAAACAAAAGTTGCACACAAGTAGTGTAAAGGGTGGGCGCTTACCCATTTATTCAAAAACTCAAGTTATTAGGTAGTCCTATGACGACCCTGGTTTTTAGGCCAGTGCGTTAGTGATGAACCGAAAGGATGATCCGATAACGGATCCAAAATATGAAAGCAAAAACAGAAAATAAGACTCTAAGAAGTCAAAGTGACCTTCCATGAGGCCGTGGAACTCAATGAGAACTGATGCGGTAGCAAAAGATCGAAAATATGACAAATAAGCCCCGAGGGGCAAAATAGTCATTTTACATGAAAATGACGTCCCTAAAATGTAAATTATTCTTGAGACACATCCGTAACTTCCCATGAAGTCACGGAACTCAAAAGAAAGTAGCGGAAGCGAATTACAAGAAAACCGAACAAAAATAGCCCCAAAGGCAAAATGGTTATTTTTAAAAAATATAAAATCGGGTGTTACCGAGTACACCACTTGGAAGACAGTGAAAAATTAATTAAGATAGACTCAAGAATCACTTGATTCAGAGTCCGGATGGAAGAGAAAAGTCAAAACAAAGTTTTAACGTCGCCGCGGCCGTGAATACTAACCTGGGCAAAATGCTGAAATCGTGTGCCGTTTTGGGACACTAAACGACGTTTTCTAGAAAAACACAAAGAAGAAACCCCCCTCGAAATAATTTTTTCAAGCTGACCATGTTGAAAGAAAATTTTATTTTTGACGTGAAATCCCCAAAATGCCCTTACGACAGACTTTTTTAAATAGTGCAGATGCGCACAGGAAAATAGATTTGATGCGGGGTTTTCGGGTCCGAAATGACATTTTTTAGAAAAGTGTTGTGAAGAAAACTCCCCTAAAATCATGTTTTCTATGTGACCATGTCAAGACCGGAATTTATTTTTCAAAAAAAATTCCCGAAATGCCCCTAGATCAGTCTAAACCAAGAGGGTAAAAAGCTGCTACAGGATCTGAGATAAAAAACGGACTACTAAACGAATTTTTCTGGAAAAACACGAAGAAGAAAACCCCCCTAAAATCACGTTTTCTAAGTGACCATATGAAAACCGGAATTTATTTTCCGAAGGAAAACCCCAGAATGCTCTAAAATCAGATTATGCAAGAAAATTTTAAAATGAGTCCATAGGACGCTCAAATCACAAAGGAAATGGTTTTTCTTGAAAACGATCATGCACATAAACGTAAATGATGATTTTGAGTGCACGTGAATAGTCCGTGGCTCCCAAAAATGGCCGAGTCAAAATCTGACCCCCCGATGGCCAAAAAGGCAAAAATGAACTTGAAATGGAAAGTATGGAAACCAAAATTAGGAAATGGTTTCAAATGACCGTTTGGCCCTTGGCCATACTTCATACAAGATAAATGAGACCTAGTGGAGGTGCCGGGACACACTTTACACCACCCGATTTGAAAATGAACCCTTAAAGGCTCGGTTTCTACTATTTTAGCCCAAAAATACAATATGTGAACTAAAATGCAAAAATGAAAACTAAATGGTGTTTGGCCCTTGGCCACGCCTCATACATATTAAATGAATGCTAGAAAATGAATTTCATACATAAAGCACACTCCGGTGCAAAATAACATGCTAAAACGCATGTTTTTTCACATATTCTCATTAAAGGCAAATACAACCATTATGAATAAACATGGACTTCAAATGAAATTTGGTCCTTGGTTTTATATCATATGCATAAAATGAGAATCAAAAAGTGTGCTTAGGCACACATTACAAGTTTAGAATCAAATATACACATTGGACAAATAAGGCAACAAATGGTATTTCAAGCCAACCTTCACAAAATGGAACCTTCAAGTCCACTGATCGCCCAAGCATAATGAAAATCTCAACCTTGATTCCTGTACCTGAAATATACCCCAGTAACTTTGGGGTGAGCAACATAAAGCTACTCGTAGGAAATGAGCATGCATCGACCTACATTTTACAATTTTATCACCTTAAGGTGAAACATGTTAAAGGGGCTCGTGCCACCTAACGTCTATGTCAAGGGTGAGACTCAAGGAGCATCCTAAGCTACCCTAGATCATTTCTAGCATAAATCACATCATTCATGTAATTCAAATAATATAGAAGCATACTATACAAAGCAACAAGATGTAGATTCTCAAAGCTGTCAACTTGAAATCTAAAGTGCAAAAACAACGAGAGTGGGTTATTCCACCTAACGTCTATGTTCCAAATGAATCTATAGGATCAGTCCTGAGCTACATTTGAACATTTATAACATAGATGTACTTAACAACATCAAAAGCTGTAATGATTTATTAGAAATCATAAAACATGAATGTACTTAACAACATTAAAGGCATGCTATAATTCATTCAAAATCATAATGCATAAATGTACTTAATAACATTAAATCGCCAATAACCAAAACCACAAGTCACAATTAAACATTGGTTGTCAACTTGGAATTGAATACGAAAACAAATAGTGAAAGACTTGGACATCACGTCTCAGACTAAACCAAGAACAAAATGGTTATTCTGGGCATTAACCCGCTGGGAAGACCACCCTAGTGCGCACTATCTCAATGGGGAGAACTCAAACCTCCCGCACTAGAGCCAAACTCTAGCTATATCACAGTA